AGTTATTTTGCGAAAGTGTTAAAAATTCGAAAACTTTTTATAAATTAAACTTTTCTTTCAGAAATTTATAACATGATTTTAGATATATTTAGAATCTTAATAAAAGATTCTCCACTCTAAAAACTAAATTTGAAGCATAAAAACTCACAAACTTATTTTAATTGTCTGTAAATTTAGTTATACTTTTGAGTAAAATACGGCTTAATTATAAATTAGTTAAAATTCCTTGTAGGTATTTCGCTGTTTTTTCAAATCTCTCTCGTTGTTATAACGATTACCTTTGTAAAGGGAAAAATAAATGACGATGGACGATTTGACTTATTCGCTAAATCGGCTAAATCTATCAAATAAACGTCGGGAGAATGCAAGAGTAGAATATTCAAATAAAGCGATCGACGATTGTCGGCCATTAATATTCGGAAACTCTTGGCGATGCAGGCGCAGTCAATATTCTTAATGGCTTCGACGACAAGCAACTCGCTTGATCGAAATATTTAGGTGTCGAGCGTCCGGTTGCGTGTGCGCGCATTACGTCTTTCAACGAACAAACTTTCATCGAGACGCTGTTCTCTCGACGAACTTGGTCCGGAATTGATAGGAATTGCGCGACTCTCGTCGGGAAGTCGATCGAGTGATTACGCGTGTCGATATGATAGCTCGAGAAATTTGCAAGATGGGGAAGGGAGAACCTGGGAGGAACTTGGAATTAAGCTGAGAGCCAAGTGATTGGTAGTGATAAATTAAAATGCGAATTCCCCGGATTTTTACACAATTACATCCGCTACCGCGGACCGTTTTCTTATTGATATTATCATATTTCTCCTGGGACGTTACAAAATTTTACAGTTACTTAATACACTTAAATATATAGGTCAGATATATATTTTTTTCAGGTGTATTTTAACACCTTCTCCTTATTGCATAAAAATTATTAGATAAGAGAAACACGTAAATTAAAAAGAACAATTAAATATAAGTATAATATCTATTTTCTAAAAATATTGTTCAGTGATACGTGATACTTTCCGTTGATTACTTACAAAATATTCAAACCGACACTGTGTGAAAAATTCCATCATTGAAATTAAAGTCGCGACTTCTAGAATAAACCGGGTACATGCTCACAATAATCTGTTTTAAAGCAAATCGATCGAAAAGCGACATATACGATTTTGTTTTTCATCGAGGGATGAGCAAAACGTAACGGGAAAGAAATAGGAATATAGCTCGAAATCTGCCACGCGAGACGAAGCGGCTGCGATTGGCCAGGCAGAGACGGACAGTCCGCCGGCCTTTTATTTCGGTCTCATCCGAGGAGAACCGCAAACCTTCTCTTTATGACTCCATAAATCCCGTTTTTTTTTTTTAATGCCATTTAGTCCCGCGACTCGTTCATCCACGGCATCGGCGTCGCTCTTGTCACCGGTTACAATTCGGTGTACAGTTAAACCTTACGATGGGCGAGAGACAAACCTACCTGCCAAATAAACCGCCGAAACGGCCTGGAATTTGACGATATAAAAGCACGTTAATTAAAGGATGTAAAACGCGAAACGTATACCGAAATGTGTTACTGTATCGAAAGAATTTTATTGGCAGTCAAGGAGAGGAGAGAAAGAGAGAAACAGACGGGCGGAGAGATAGGCCCATAAAAATGAAATAAAGCTGTCAAGGAGTAACTGTATTAAAGATAATAAAATTGTTGCGTATTGAACGGGGTTCATTGAGAGATAAGACGTTTCTCAGAACCGAACGCAATCATAAAACATTCCAGAGCTAGAAAAGATCGATTTTTAATCGAAAAATGAATCGTGGATATATAATAAGGTGTTAAGCTTGTAATAATTATATAGACTATTTCACAACGCATTAGTTAGCGCGATATTAATAACCCACAATCAACGTAAAAAATTTACAAGCATTATTTCTTCAGAGACCTTTTCCTCATAAAGAAGATACCCTGGCAAGTAGAATCGTAAAATATTAATTCCATTGATGAGGATATATTATTGTAGGGTAAAAATATAAGGATAAATTCTCTTTATACTTTCTCTAGAAGAACGGAATATTATTCAGAAACAATATATTTCAAGATTTACACCTATTTTTGCACCTATAACTAACTCATCGAGTATTCAATCGTTGCGTAAACGTTATATCGGTTATATATATCGTCGGATACAACGACACCTTTGTGTTGCCAAACTGCGAACAGATTGTGCGCATAATTAGAATTTTAATCACCTATAAACGGATTAATTTCAACTCTAATTTAAACTTTAAATCGAACGCGTTAAATTTCAGTTAAACTTCGCGACGGGGAATTGTTTTCGGTAAAACGCGCGCGCGGATGCGCTGCGCGGATCGACGATGACGCGCGAATAAATGAACGTCCGTGCGTTATATTTTTCAATAAATCCGTTATAAAAAAATTCTTTTTATCGCGTCTACCGGCACACATTGTTACGCGATGTTGCATGTGACACAGGCAGGTATATATTGAGAAGAATGACTGCGCGCGCGATACGTGGCGTGAAACCGTTTACACGAAGGAATTATGACGATATACATAATCCTCTTGATACTTTCGTGCGCACGTGTGTGTTAAAGTATTCCGACATATCGCGTTTCACGGCGAAATTAGTTGCCGCGTACCCCATCGCGGGGAGAGATGTCCGACACAATTCAATTATTTCGTCATTTGGGGAAGCCATTAATATTTCAAATGTATCAAACGTATATCGGCGCGGTCGGTCGTGCGATTCGCTTTAAATTGCCCCGTTATCGTATTTCGTCGCCTCGAATGTCACGTATTAATAGGGTGCATTTTTAATTATCCTCGGCGAGGCCACACGACGCTCGCGACCTCCGCACTCTCGAATACTCGCCCCTTTTTCCTTTTCTCTCTTTCGCGTGCTTTCGAGGGGGGTTTGGGAAATTAAAGTGGATCGACGCGAGTAGAGCGCGTCGACACGGCGGGCGCATTATTTTCGACGCGGCATGATTTAATGGCGTAATATAGAAATACATCGAACGCGCTCGGGTTTTTCGCAAAATGGGGCATCGCGTGAGGGATCGTTCCCGCCCTGCGCGTCGTCCCAGTTAAAATGAAAACCGATCATTTCTTTTAGCACGAAATATCTTCCGAGGCCGCGCGCGCGCGGTGGCCTGTTTCGCCAACGGAAATTAATTGAGATTGTCATTATCGGCAGATATTTCGAAATCGCGGCGGGTTGCCGCGTGAAAAGGAAAAAAAAACGACGTGGAGTTCGACAGGCGCGGATAAATATAGAGAAAATTGAAGTTGGGAGTTGCAAGGAGTGTTATTAAATGTCGTAAAAGGGAAGATAAAACTGATGATAACTGATAATGGTAAGATCTCCCTTTTCTATCAGCTATATTTCGATAATGTCAAATTTTATCGACAGAAAATCGCAACTCTCGTTCGTAAACACGTTCATAATCGTGAACTGGAATTTTCACGCGATATTTCCAGGCGCTTTCCTTTTTTGTTAAAAGATTGCGTGTCTCGCGGTTGACGGGAGTCAATAGAAGGGATCAGTGCGGGCGGTCCTTCGATAAAACCGACGTTTTCTAAACATTGTGTAGATTCATTGCGTGACAAACTGTCATCACGCGATGTCAAACAAACCCCCCTGGCGCCGCGCAACAAACATAAGTCACCGAGAACGGATGATATGGAAATCTAGCGGTCGTCCATCATCCACGATCGACCTGATTTATCCGCAAGAGTCGTCGAAAAACCGTCCTTCACCGTCGATAAAGATTGCGGGACGTGCTTTAACATCCAAGTCGGATGGGCGAAAGGGCGAGACAAGTAAGAATTCTCGACTGAGAATTTAAATTTGACTGGATGTAAAAAAAAAATTTTTTTTTTTTTCAATGAAAAATTGAAGAGTTTAGTTCTTCAATATGATTTAAGCCGAGTTGTTTAAGAGAGCGTTAAATGAAAGTAATTTTAAATTGATAAAAGTAAAATTAAATAATTTATCTTAAAACTTGAGGAATGAACTTTAGATTTACTTTCGCAAAACCTTAAAAAAGAGAATTTGCGCTAAGCCTTTCGTGTACCTCATGACAAATTTATGTAGCGGAACGGTGCAAATCAAATAACCTGCAGTAATTCGCTACTTCAAAAGAAGCTCGCGAATCTCCAGTATCACGGAAGCGCACTTTCAAAGTACTTTAAATAAATAAGTATAGCTTTAATATATTATAATATACTTATACATATACTTGATATATATAAAGTGTATTTTATATATTTAAAAAGAATATAAATAAATTTTATTAAAATTGTGTAATATATTTGTTCTTACATTATTATTTGAAAACCAGCAATAATCAATATTCATTAATTTTCAATAAATTATATATATAATATATTCAATAAATTTATTAAATAAGTGTTCTATATTTAATTTATATATATTATTTATTAAATTCATTATTATTTAAAAACAATGTAGTAATATTTCTAAATTAGCATAATTTGTAACTAATAAGAATTCTATATATTTAATAAATACATTAAATATATAACTCTTATATGCGTTTATATTTATACTAACCCTTATTCATTTACATTAATACTAATTTAGAATTATTGCAGACTGTTTTCAATTAATAATGAGAACAAGTGTTACACAATTTCGGTAGATTCTATTTTATTCCTACTTTATCTTTTTATTTGTATCTTCTAGAGCTAATTAAAACAATGCAAATATATCAAAACCAACAAGGCTAATTAGACTTACAATTAGAGCTGGTTAGACTTTGGGCTGATCAACTCCGTTTCACCTTTCAATAAAACGTTTAACAATTTATCTGACAGGTTTCTTAAATTTCTTAAGGAAATCAGAGCTACATATAACCGGCATAAAAAAATCTTCTACTTCTATAATGTTATCAGATGAAGATATTCGCGATATTGTCTCTCGACACAAATTAACCCCGCGCCGCCATTCGAACCGACTCACCGTGCAAAATCCGGCGATCAGAACTCTCCACATGATCTCGCCGAGCTATTTGGTTCTTTCTCACGTGTCGTCGGCGTTCACTTCCCCTTGTTAACTCGAGAAATGTTTACCAGAGTATTACACTCGAGACACTCTTTCCGGAACCGGGGGACGCGCCGCCGGCAAAGGGATGCAATTTTGACGAAGACCCTCGATGGACTGAAGGCGCGTGTGTATCGTGCCGGGGCACGCGGAGGACTCCTTTCCCCCCCGGTGTATATCCAGCCGGGCACACCGCGTCGTCCCCGACGAGAAGGGGGCCGCGCGGCGCTCTATGGCAGAAACCGGGGAACCCAAGAGAACCACCGCCGCCGCGCACCGGACCCGTCCGGAGTACTGTTAATGCATGCTCGGTGCCTCCACTAACAACCATCCTCGCTTCATGCCGCTCGCGCGCTCGTCCAGCGACGGCCTCGAACGCGCGCGAACACCGCGATTTCTTGGCTTCCTCGGACCAGGAGGATCTGACCCGAGAATGACCAGACGTCCTAGTTTCCGAAGACACGTCGGGGGAGGGGGGGGGCTCTTTAAGTCGTATACGCGACCATCCTAATCTCGTTCAATTTTGTACGGGGTGTCTTCATCGCTTGATGATTTCCGCGTTCTATTTCCCTTCATCAAACGATTCGTCGAGTTTCCACCTCTATTTTTGTATCCAGAAATTTGATTAATCTGTTACCCTTCTAATGCGACAGCGTTAAAATTTACTGATGGAAAGAATAAAAAGGTGGACACTCGTTATCGCTGCATATATAAGTTTAATTTTGTCTCGAGATAATATATTGTGATTTACGATTTATAATTTTTCACACGGGACTTCCGTTCTGAAAGACGCGAATATTTATTACATCTCATTTACAATAGCGACCGGAAAAAATAACAAGATATTAATAATATTTCGCTTAACAACACAGCAAGAAGCGGATTTTCCATTGGGTGAGAAAAACGTGTATATTTCTAAGACGTACGGCGCCGCTTCATCTTTTTAGCTTATTTTATGAAAGGCGGTTATGGTTTATGATTATGGCATCTTGCTGCCAACGTTAAATCAAGTTACGAGACTGATCTATATATAGTCGCAAAAGAATTTCAACAATTTCTGTTGCCTCCGCTTGTGAATGCATTTCGGTCTGGTTTGAGAAGACCAGCGGAACCAGCGAGTCGCGAAATATTATGCGATTCTGACACGCATAATAGACGAATTGCTTAACCGGTTATTGACTTCTACTCCCTGGATGATTCTGGGTCAATATTTGCCTCATCGATTGTAGAATATTATATTGAGCAGAGAGAGAAGAACGAGAGGAGGAAGTTTTAACAGAAATTCCTTCAACTGTTCAAATATTTTGTTTTCTCTTTTTCGTTGAATAATAAAATTTCAATTTTATTGCAACCGTAGCGATAATAAAATATAGATAATTTGAGATAGATGCTCAACTACTCACATTAGACGTATCTTATCTAAAAGAAGAAAGAAGAGTCGAAAACTTTTTGAAAAGAACAGAGAAAAATCGAGATTACAGACTTTCTCTCGTCTCCTCTTCTTCACTAAAATTTACGCCGTGATAAAATTTTATCTGGTCGCTACGTTTTTTTTCTTTTTGTAATTGTGGCCTCATTTTGCGAAAATTGACTCTTTTGTGTTGTGACAGGACGCTCTTCCCGGAGATGTGATATATCGCTACATGGAATGGTGGATTAAGTGCTTATCGACGTCATGTGCTCCCGTAAAAAGTGAGAATGACGGTCCCGTCGCCGAACATTCGCACGGACTTTACTGTACTTGTCACTGACTGAGTGACTGATAGAGCACGATGCGGTGTCACGCATTCTCGAAACGCGCGTTAGTACCTAGTCCACTCGGGAGCGAAGAAATTGCCTTCCGTTATTTTTCGCATGCCTGCCCCGTCGTTTAACTTGAGTGCGCACGCCGCGCCGGTTTTATTTTACTATCGCCGAAATAAATCGTTTATCCTCGTTACATACTGATACACATTGTATATTCATCATTTATACCCATCAAAAGGATTCCTCGTACAGTAATCGCGAGCACTGCAATCCGGTTTTTCGGGAAAGCATACCTCTTGCTTTTAATTCGCATTTTTAGCGACAAAATTTTGACGTTATTAAATTATTATTAAATTAATATTAAATTGTTTAATATATATTATTAAAATAATGCATACATTATTTCATTATTATCTATAACTAAATATATGTAAATCATAATATAACTATAATTTTTTTACTCTCTGGAACTACAGGAACTTTCCTATAACGAATTTAAACTTAATAATGATAATAATAATTTATTGCATAAAGATGGGCTTTAAAGATAAATAAATACAAAGAGTATGAATGGAGATAATTTACTATTGTTGTAAACTTTAATATGAGTAAATCTTTTATCTACTTCTCCTATACTTATTAAAGTACATTTTAATAAGTATACATTTAACATATTTAAATTAAATTTAATTTAAATAAAAAACGGACTATGTATATGTATTTTGCCAGACTCGCGCTCTTCTCGTAATATAAATAAAATTTTAAATCGCAGTTCGTTCAACATGCATATATAAACTTGACTCGTCCAGTAAAATGTCCACGATGTTAAATAAATTTTTACGAAACGGCAACGCGAAAAAAGTCGATCGATGCAATTCTCGTCGTCATTCATCTCAACGTCTTCGTCCTCCTTGTACGTTGTCATCCGCGATTCGCCGGCGTTCGTTATGGTCCGTGACGTTAGGAAGGCATGCTGCACGCGCTGTTACATCAGCGCCGACGTAACAGCACCGGCGAGGCGCTAACAATTACGTCGTTAATCGTGAACTTGCACGTGAGCGCGAGCGAAAGGCTCCGCGCCGATCGGAAGTCCCGACGAGTGTGGAGTGTGGAAGGCCGAGGCAAGCGAATTCTGCGTGAGAGCGCGCGCTATGCGCTCGCGGCTCGCGGAAAAGAACGCGCGGGGAACGTCGCAAAAAACTGCCTCGCTCGCGCGCCGCTGGCCTCGCCGCTGCTGCTGGCACTTGGCAGTGCTGGCTTTTTTCTCGCAGTCTCTCTCGGAGAGTCACGGCAAGATTCATTCGCCGCCGCGAATTCGACAGGAGCGCGCGAGCCGCGCGTTGACCGTGATGGATCTCGGGAGCGATGCTTCCAACGACCGAAACCGCGAAACGCAAAACAGCGCCAGTCCGTTAACTTAAATGATGTGCCGTGATGGTTCTTTCAATATTTCAGTACACAAGTCTGATACTGTTACTAATTAGGTAATTCTATCGCATCACGTTGCAACTATCACGCACTCATTAACAAGATTTTATAAGGCTATCTCGAATCTGAAAAATAACTTTACACAATTGTTGTTTACCAAGTTGAAATTATATTTCGTTGTGTTTTGCCATCGAGATTCGAAATTACCTTTTAATTTTATTTAAAAAAAGTGTATTTAAATATCAGTCTTTAGCTCACTGTAATATTATTTTTCATTAATTAATTATTTATTTATCTAAGCAAATAATTCTTTCGCGCTATATTATACGCTGAACAAAACGTTTAATTTATTCATATCGTTATATGTTATATCTATCAAAGCCGATGTCAAGTTTCGTACGTGCCTATCAACTATTAGATTAATCAGTGTAAAAGCGTACAGCGGTTTCAACTGTATGTACGAAACACAACAACCGTTTTCAATACCACAATTTGCAGCGTAAATAAATACGTTTATTGATCACTCCACTTTCTGGATTTTGTGCAGCGCACGTTTACTCGCGTATACGTAAACAATTCATTTCCTTTCGCGTAGCCACCGAAAAATAACGGGTGAATAACGGATATTAATGGTAAACTTTCCAAAACAAATTTTCACCATTTCAAGTTTGTATCTTCCAAGAGAAAATCTCCTTTAATTTACCTATTCTTCACGAGACCGCGATAATTCCGCGGCGAGTTGAATTCAATTTTCACGTTCATGAAATATCATTACGGTACTTCTTTTCGATCGTTAAAATAAGTGCAGAGCTATTTTATTTTCAGATAAGCTTGAGACCGGGCAATTTAACAAAATATCTTGAAGGCCGCGCATTAAGCTTTCATTATACAATTGTAAACTCCAGAGAAGTCTGAGGTTATCGTAATTTAAAATGTATGTAGAACATTAAAAAAAATTGGGCTAATTAAAAATGTACAACTTGGTTGAATCATCGATATATTCGTTTGCGAGATATTTGGCATTTCAAAATAAATAACAATATTTACGAAATTAATATCACATTTAATATTAATATTTGATAAATATCAATGCCAATAAAGGTTACAATATTAATATTTAATATTGTTTAAGAATCAATTTCCTCGTGAAATTAAAAAAAAGAATTTAAAAAAGTTTACAATGAATAGTTGAATTTAAAATCAAAATGACCCCTCGAGCTAATTCATTCTCGCGTAACATCGTTCATGTATGTACAGGTGCTCCATGTTCTGAAATATTCTCAGGCGTAAATTTTAAATATTCATTATATATTATATGGTTTATTCTAATTTTTCAATAAATGCCCAAAAATTACATATATTTTTTATGTCTATTTGATATCATCTTTCATTAAAAATTTGAATTTCTCCAATCAAATGTCATATAATGTTACCAATAATAAATCACTGTTTATTTTCTCATTAAATTTATTGCAATCGTATTTATATAAAGAAAGTGAGAAACGTATTATCGGCTATCGCTTGGCAATCGCAAACGAATTAACGATATGTAATAAATTCGACACTTAAAAAGGTTTAAATAATAACAAAAAATAGAATGAAGCCTGATAGCTATTTCTTTTTCCAGTGCATCCTCACAACAAAGAGATACGGTCTATCTGCGGGAGACGTCGCGGTGCGCGAATCGCGATATTGTTTCTCGTCTCACCTCTCTTCTCCTTCATTAGGCCGCTGGAGCGAGGAGGTAAAACGAAAGCGGGGGGTACGGCCGCGTGGCGGCGGTTAGCCAGCGTATCATTAATTATCCCGATAGCTTCGGCGCTGCGCGCGCGTTATTATCAATTAAGGCAGCCCTCGGACGCGGCAATTTCCTTCGCGCCGCCTGTTACAGAGCGCGGCGATCGCGATACGAGCCACGGCTATTTTGTTCGCCACGCTCGGCCGTTCGCGAAAAGAAATTAGACAGGATGAAGGGCGATCGCCCGATAATCGCGTCCGCACGCGAGCGGATTAAGCCCCCGTAGGGACGTTATCGAGGTATCGACAAATGTGTCGGTGTATCCGGATATTTTATTTACGAGCGCTCGGACGTTTTATTGCGTTCTTCGAATCATTTTCGAAAATTACGCAGAAAAGTAAAGTTTAAACTGATGGATAACTTTGTGCAGATCAGTAATTTTTATAATTATCCCTATTCACTCCAACCATGCCCTTTCGTGCCCCACGAGTTTCTAATAGTCGTTTTTTTGTGAAAAACAAATTATCGTGGGATAATCCCCCCCATGCCGGAAAAATGATTTTTTAAATAAAACGAGTCGTAATGTGTGTTTGTCAACATATAAATGTTGTAAAAAAATATTTAAATAAATGATTTCCAAATGTTATTTACATTGATTTTTAGTCGAAGGTACAAAGATATTATAATAATTTTTGGGGAATTTTTCAAAGTTATTAACATTATAAAAAACACGTGGAACTCGAAAGTGCATGATTGGAGGATTAAAGGGGCGGAAAAAACGTTGGAGTGAATAGGGTTATATATGAAAATTAAAAGTTGTGGAAAAGGGCGCGTAAGATTCTATCTTGAGAGAAATAGATTCGCGAAATATTTATTTAATCTTGGATTATACTTGGACGCCCCAATCCCCTTATTGTTAATACAGTTATTCGTTACTTTGTATGGGAAAACATATAGAGGCATTTCTCTTAAAGCAACGTTTGCTGCTCGTGCGCTACTTTTTCTCCAGCTACCGACATTTTCTCAAATTGTTAAATTAATGTCATAACGGGGAAATACTATGCCTTTGGCTGGTTCGTTTATTCCTAACGTTAAATAAGAGCAAGGCGGTCGGTTGCAAACCGTCGATTAGCGTTCGTCGAAGACACCCAGCAGTATACACGTGTGTAATTGCGGCAGCGCGATATAATTTTCTCTAAAGGAAATTTGCATCCTAGACTGCACAATTGCACACGAGTGCGTGCAAAATTACTAGAGGGAAGGCGGGTCGTAAGCATTGCGCAATAATGACGCTCTGAGTAAATGAGCGTAAGAAAAACACAGTAGTATGCTAATTACCTATCGGTTATATTATCCGCGCGGTCCGCAGGGCAGAGGGAATCTCGCTCGTGTTGTCTGAAATTCTTTTTCCGCGCCGCGTCATCGCGCGGTACGATAATTCCATTATTAGCATCGTCGTTAATTGAGATAACGCCGCAGCAGGTAGAGACGCACCCGCGTTAATAATGGCTCGCTCTTGCGTGTAACACATATGTTAATGTGCAGGTTTCCGCTAATTCCGCGACGCTTCCGCGGAAATCCTCCGTAGATTCAATTATTAATATAAATGCATTAATCCTAAAACCCTCTAATTAAACGTTAACGTCTATCTCGATAATCGCTTTCGGGCGGAGCAATAGCGAAATTATGCGTTCATAATCACGTCCGAGATTAATCGTCCGAAATTCACATCCGCTTTCATGTGCGCGGCCCTCGACTTTGGCCGCCGGAGATGTCATTTATTTTCATCTGATATTCCCGTTCGTGGATCAGGAGGTATGGAAAGACGCAAAAAGCATCTTTGTGAACTGCACGGGAATTAGGATCCTCATTTGCTGAGTTTTTTATATTTAGAGTAAACTAGAGTAAGTTTGCTAGAATTGCTTAAATTAAAAATCCAGAAATGTCATGATTATTTATTACATAAAAAAATATGTCAGATACAGAAATGGTCGTTAACTGAAGGTAAAATTAGCAGACGGATCCGAGAAGTGTACAAAAAATGCCGTATGTATCTTCGTCTTCGTAATTTGTTTCACTTCAACGGAGAATTTACACTTATTCTTACCATTTGCTTCCGATTTCAGTTTACTTTTCCTCTTCATCGTACAGCAAAATTTTAAAGCGTTCTCATTACCTACTGCAAAATTTTTTATTTCCTCTCTCTCTCTCTCTCTCTCTCTCACTCACACACACACACATACACATCATATTCCTCTTTACCTTATTAATTCCTATTAATATTAATAATGATTAAATAATGAATTAATATTAATAATAATATTATAATAATGATATTAATAATGATAACTCTAATAAAATAAAAATAGAGTTAAAATGATTGCAAATGTGCTTTAGAAAATTAATAATGATAATTTATATAGTTAATAATAATAATAATGATAACTCATAAAGATAATAATGATAATTTGTGGAGTTAATAATGATCATTTGGACGCAGTTCTGCAATGCGGAACCAACTCCAAAATCTTACTTTTCCGCTAGAGCAAGTTTCACGAAACATCAGAAATAAAATTCTGCGCCAAAGTTATCTCAAATATATATAACGACCGTACTATATAATCCTCAAATACAATTCCATGTGTTACATGCGTTTTTCTATATAGGTCTATACATTAGGTACTACAGGCCTTTACGATATCACTTTGCAATACAGAATTAAAAATCACGAAAGTGGCGCTTGGTTCTTTATTGCATAACTGCATCCATTTATTCGCTGCTATTATTCATTTCCTGTTATATACAGCACGTAATAATGTTATTATTATTACTACCGTATAAATATAGAGTCGAAGAAAATTTATTCGTAGTTTTTGTAGTACTACCGTACGGCTTAAAATGCAACGTATGATTTATGTGGAACTGCTATATAATACGAGATTCCCCGTGAATTCCATGTGTTGCGCTTCGTCCCTAGTTCCTGGAAATGTTCCGGCTACTACTATTATATCATTACTGAACGGGTTCGCTCAGCCATCGAAGGGCGATGATAAAAGTCGACATTTCACGCTTCGCCGAGTTACCGCTGATTTCCGGAGGACAGAGCTCCTTCTTGAGAGAGCTTCCGTCCGCAGGATGGTAGCCTGCTGGCAGCAGGATCGGTGGACTAAGTTTCGGAATGTGCATTGCTCGTGAAAATATATCGCTACTCTGAAAACAGGGTCACAATGTCAGCAACATCGTCGTTTTTTTTTTATTCTTCGGAATAAAAAACGTTATACAAATTATCTAAAAATCTTTCATCTAAAAAAGTAATGTCTGTACCGAAAATACCAAGGGTAATTTGAAATATATATGTAAGTTTTTCTTCATCCTTTATCCAGGCAAACTATTTTCAAAACGCGCGCACGCGTGGAAATATATATTATTTTTAACTAGAAAACACATTATCTAAAAGCATTATATGCACATAAATATGTCTGTTTCCTTCTGCAAAATTTAGATATCGCGTCCTGATTTATGGAGCCACCCATTTTTATTCTAGATTGTAATTTCAACTTAAATTTTTAATGGTCTCCTAAATAAAAATAAAAAAACACCCAATTTCTTTTTTAAAAAAGTAATTTGTGGTACATCTTTGATAATTCAAAGAGAATCGGTTTTCCGCACCGCAGTAATTATTATTCAATCTTTACGTCGTCACGTAAAATCTGTTTGTACGCAGAGGTATCGACGTGTAGACACTTCAATTGAACACCGGAATTAAAATCGGGCTTCCTGTACACACGAGGGATCTGTTCTTTTTTTTTCCAACCGCGCAGTTACACGTATTCCACAATATCGGAGAGGGGTGGGGGGAGGAGGAAAGCTGCGCAAAGTTACAGAACGGTACCCCGTCTAATCGGCGCACGTGGAAAAACTCAATTTTCTAGCCGAGCGCGTCGCGCTCGCGCGCGGATCAGATCTGATCCCCGTCGTTCCCTCAAGAAGGACCGCGGAAGAATCGCGCGCGCGTACGTTTACCGGGAAAAAGATCGCTTCTGGAATTCTCCTCGGCGAAGAGCTTTGCCGCCGTTCACGCCTCGGGGCGTTTTGCCATACAGCATGGAAAAATCCGCGTGGCGGATGCGCGCAACGGTCCGCACACATATTTAATTCATTTCCGCTTTCTCTCCCGAGGGATCGAGCCGCGAGGGGGATGAGGAGAGAAACGCGGAAGGTCCCGCCGCGAGGTACGCGGAAAAAACGCGCGCACGCGACCACCGCCGCGCCGCTTTCCATTTCCCTCCCCGTTTTTTCTCCCACACCCGCGGCTAAGTCCCGTTGAAATCCCGGCGACTTTTTTGCTTATTAAAGAACTTATTACCGAACCGCGTTTAACTCCGGCGCGTATTTGCCGAACGCCCCAACGCGATTCACGCGCCATGACGCGCGCTCGTCGGCAATTAATAAGCGCCGCGTGCTCCGCTCAGAAATATAAATCACGTCCGACATTGTGCACAGGTAGCACGAGGTGTAATCTTCCGCCGTGCGGACTCCTCGACCGATCCGAAAATCCATCTCTTCACAGCCGAGATTTATCACGCGAGGTTCGCCGATTTTTAATGCTAATTAATCATTGATCGTTTTAAACCGCGTCTGCGTTACGGTCCAATTGAAAGAAATTATTGAAACGTCTCATTTATCATTTATTCACGTCCAGGTGTGTTTGCACACGTTCCATATTTAACGCTAAACGCAGCTGTTTGATTTTTAACCAGAAGCAATAGATATATATGCAATATGTCACGAAGGGACGGAATTTGCATGATTTTTTTTCATATAAAATAAATAAAACCCGAAAACCCCAAACGGTCAGGTTCACCGCTGAGGCTGAGGCACGAAATATGGATATCGAGGTTTAATTTAGCGAAAGTACTGTATTTATATATCGCACGGTCGGTCTGGGCGGGCGCAAACCGAGAGCCGATGAACGTAAATACATAAACGTTACAACTAAACTCGAATCTTTATTAATCAATGTTCATACAATGAGATCTCACAGCAGAAACGAAATTTATATCGTTTTGATACAAAAATATATCTCTCTAATACTATTTACCACACTAATGCGGCTCGCGCGTGGCTTAAACGGTAAAAAGTAGAAAATATCGTGCACGCTACTGTACACATGTCGTGAAACTGTGCGGGAACTGCGCGGGTCCGCGATATTTCCTATGCCTTTCACACTTAAGAGCAGTCTATTAAACGGACGCTCTCGCCAAGGTAGCGAGCGTACGAAAATCCTCGGGGATAAATAAAAGAAAAAAAAAGGAGAGACAGAAACAAGGGGGCGGAGGAGAGAGAAAACAAACGAGTATAAAATTACGAAATATTAAATATCTCTGCGCGTTAACAAACTAAACGTCGCTTAACGTGTTATTTGTACATTTTGTGCTAAATTCGACGGCGTGTCTCGCAGGAAACCTGTCTGTCTTTTTTTCTTAATCATGCCGGCGTACCAGTGCGAACAAAAATTAAAAAAAAATTAATAATAAAGAAAATGAAAGAAAAAAAAAGAAAAGGAAAGATCGCAATACTGTAACAAATAACACTCGTCTCTTGATCACGCATAACAAACATCGCCCGTTGGACGAATCGTAAACCTTATTCTAATACGTCTACCCTAGAAAATTACCGCAAAAAGAAAAAGGAGAAACGGGGGGCAATCCCTTCGCAGCTCTTTCCGGTTGAGGAGCGTGAATTTAGCGACAATTCTAACAAGCATACAGCACGCTTTTACTGCAGAGTCCGAGCTAAACGCGAGCTGTATTCGACACGCTAAATCTACGTTCGTCACTCGCGTTACTTAATACAATTTTATTTTTCGTCATCCGCGATCGTTATGGCAACAACGAAAAAAAAAAAGAATCCACGATCGCCCGTTCGGCCGAGGCTGGTAAAACGGGCGACAGTCTGACGGCGCGGAGACAGCCGCGAAAAGTACTCCCGGCTTTGCGGCGCGTAAAAGAGAGGTCGAAATGTGTCGGGCATCGTTAAACTTGTTCGGCACACTCCTGCGTCAAAGCGCACGCCTCTGGCTTAACTTCGACATCGTTGTTGCCGTTCATCTTCACCGGGGACCCGGACGTCGTTGTGTCGGGGCTATCGGGGCTCTCGTGGCCGGAGTCACTCTTGTTGTTATTCTCTTTATCGTCACTTATCTTTTTCTCGTTCTTCGTCTTGAGACCCTTCTTCTCCGGCGTCTTGCTCTTCGGCTTCTTCTCCGGGTCGAAGTGACGCTCGAGAATAATCATCAGATCCTCCATCTTTTTCTCCTCAACCGTTGGGAGTTTCTCCTTCATTAGATGCTCCAGTCCGTCCTTCTTCGCGTTGGTCCACGCGTCCTGAAACGCACAAATGGTCGATAAAAAGATCGTTCGATCGTGAATCGAGTCTTGAAAGAACGTGACGCAAATTCGAACGTTTCTGGCAATTCGAAAATCCTAAACTGATTGTCACTTCATTTCCGGATGACGTCTTGACACAACAAATTAAACGGTTTAAACCGAAATCGAGAAGCGTCTTGTTTGATATCGTGTGGAATAAACGGGTCTGATTATTAGTACTCAATTAATCGTGCATAAACACACTCACCTGTAGCTCCGAGTACACGATCCCGGCTTCAGCTAACAGTCGCCGCAGGGGACTGGCGTGTTGACGTTCGCGTCTGTTCATACGGAACAGGGCGCTGAATATGGGCCGCAAGTTGTTCTGCCGTTCGAATATCATCTTCAACTCTATAACAAAAGTTATACATTGCGTTGGCATTTCATCTCGGTGCTTGCTTATACCTTCTTGCTAACTTAGCCTTCAAGTTCACGCCAAACATGGTAAAGTTTAAAATTATTTATAAAACTTGTGCGAAGGAAAACGAAATAAAATGTCAGATTAATAATGATAATGTAAAAACATTAAAGCGTTCTAAATCATTCTTTTATCTAACAAATTTCTACATCATTTTTTAATCTAATGAATTTTTCTGAAGCATAATTAGCGTTTCGTCGAAGACTAAGTACAAATATGCTTTATTAATGATACATTGTATTGCTGTTGGATTCTTTTTTTATTAATTTTTATCATTGATGATAAAAAACTAAGATTATTCCTATAAAAAAAAAAACGTTACGATAAGCGTTACGAAATTACGCGAGTCATTGCACATTAAATAACGTACGTACCGTTGTGTTCCTGCTCCTCGACGTCAACAGGTTGCGCGAATTCTCGAATAACCTCGACTGCTCTTTTCATTGGTTTTTCATCGCTGGTTTTCTCTTTCTCATTCTCATCTCCGTTCGCGCTCGCATCTTCGGTCTTGTCACCGTCGATCGAGCACAGGTATTGTGCTATTTGTAACGCCAGCGATGCTCTGTGTTGCGCATTGCCCAGATTCGCTTCCTACAAATATAATCCAAAATATTTATCATGGAAAAATTATGTATCGCTCTGCTATTTATCTTTTTACAAAACATTTATAACACTACATAAATCAAGCTATCGATTTTCGCAAACGTTTATTAAATTTGAATTTTATATAGAAATCATTTATTCTCGCGTTCTCTCAAAAATGAGTATTAATTCGGGATTACATTTTCTATCTTAGAATTGAAAAAAATTAAGAATTATTCATTTTGTTTTATTAAATCCCGTTAAAGTTTGTGATCAATATGCAAGGTAAATGTACCAATGCCGGGACACCTTTATCATTTTAGTTTTTAAATAAGTATAACGCAAATTAAAATCAAAGATAAAAATATAATACAAGAAAAATATTTTCATCTTTGATTCTTTGATTTTAATTCGCGTTTATAACTTATTTAAAGACTAAAATAATAAAAATGTCCAGACACAGGTACGTGTCCCAGGCATTGGTACATTTAGCTTATATTTTTCTCACCTTCTTCAACAACGTGCGCGACAGAGTACGTAGGGAATAGATGTGCACCGTGTTCGCGCACTTAGCCTCGGCGATGTTGAATCCGTTAGCGAATCCCTTGACCGTCTGTTTGAATCGATCGACCAGATCGTACTTCTTCAGCGACTCGAGCAGCATCGCGGGAATGACTTTGCGAGGCTCGTGATAAACCAAAATTACACCGTCCGCGGCGTTTTCCTTCACGGTCTCCAACCAGGTCAGGAAATCCGTAAGTGCCGACACTTCACTTTTGGATTTGATTACCTACGAGAACAAATATTTTATATTATATATGTAGATATACAATATTAATTAATATAATAATTATATATATATTTCCTGTATACAGGAAAGAAGATATCTATGTTTGATTCAGCATTTAACAAAACTCTATTATCTTGAAGAAGAAATATGTACATATATATATTTTTTCTTTTATACGCACTATCTATAAAAAATTAGAAACAATTTCTCCCATATTTGCAATTTATTATAAAATGCTCAAGATTATTTAAGAACTGTGACAATTTACACATAACTTGAAACGTGAGAAAAATTGTCTTTCAATTTTTAAAATATTAAAATCAGCGTTTTCAGGCGTGAATTCTCTATCCCTCGTGCGGGAAGGGCAAATCGCGGAGCAACGAATAACGAAATATTTGGTATCGCGACCTTGCCGCCGTACCTCGTTGGTCTTGCTGTTCCTGAGCACGCGGAATTTGCCATTGGTCACGACCTTCATACTGTGGCGCTTGATGGCGGTCGGATTGAGGTCCTTATACGGCATCACGTACTGCGAATAAGTGGAGTTGGGGGTGTAGCCAGCTATTTGGCAGATCTCGTCGATGACCTTCTTGCCGGTGGTGTCCATGTCCCAGCCGACCAGGCGATAATCCCCCGGCGCAATGCCCATTGCGCCGCACGATTTTTTCACCGGGCTCGCTTCCGTCACTGTCGAGGATACCATCGTTCACGGAGTCGCTTTCCTGAAAAGTGCAAACGTCCGCGTATATTCCACCTTGGCTCTGATTGCCTCTTTCACCAGGCGTTTCCGTCTTTGCGTCTCCCGGGAGCCCCCAAGGGCAAGAAGACTCCTCCGTGATTCTCGACGATGTCGATTAATCCGGAGAAATCATACAGATAAACGCGCGGGGAGCAAAAATGATCTTTTACAGATACGAAAAGATATAATGTTCTTTTCAGATTATCAATGCCTGATAAAAAGTCACGTGAGAAAAAAAAGTATCTTTTATTGAGGAAAGATTAGAGGAGCTATTTACTGTGAAATTATTGTTCCACTACCGTGTCGTATTGTAATGATTATTTCATGCGCGTATATTAATTTTACATTAGAGGTGGAAATTAGTAGTTTATCGTTTCAGTAAACGGTAATTCGGTAAATTTGGTCGGACGTTACTCGGTGGATTTAAATTTTTTCAAGATAACTTCCTCGAAGGTAGATTTCACTTGAGCGTGTGATCGATAGCTAACACAGCCTTTGTCACGGTCGGCCTTGAGGCTCGCGCAGCAACATCTGCGAAAATATAAACACTGCCTAATTGACGAGAAATAATATCGTGACGTTCGAATTTGCCATCGAACGCGTTATAACGATACAAATATCTCCGTCTATGCCTTGGCTCGCGTCCATCAAAACACACGTCGCATCGTGTTCCGCAAATTCCCACGTATTCCGTTACATGACGTGTGAAATTGGAATTAATTGAGAGAGCAAAGGAAAGTGCACGAAACACTTTGCCTCACGCTCCGCCAAATGTCCGTTTTTATGTAGCTGAATTATTTCTATTTACATGAACTTACACTTTCCAAATGAAATTCCAAAGACAATTTTAAATCTTGATTTGTGAAGAAGAATCTTAAGAAATTATTTTACAAAATAATTACGTCATTTTCATGTCGATTTTTATTTCGTTCGTCGATGACGAAACAAGGTATTTATAGTTAAATATTTATAAAAGCGTTTATGATGAAATTTATAATATTGAACAAAGCATAATCGAACGTATGTACTTGTCCCCATTTACATCTCCAACGATCTCCACGTAGAAACTTCCAGAAATGACATCATCAATATACGTGGATTTATTATCATGAAAATTAGTCATTGGTTAATTATCTGTAAAAATTATAAATACAATTTCCGCCCGGTACGATTAATATGATAAACAATAATGAAACACGCGATGCACATGTTAAAATCATTACCGATGTTATCGTTTACGAATTTTTCGGTTCGATCGATTCTCTCCTCAATACAAATTCAGAAGAATCGGCAGCTTTCTAAGTTATAAGCGGATATCGCTAAAACCTTGCTAATTCCGAGTCGATTTGGAATCCAATGAAACTCTCGTCGAGGATTATTTTTTCGATCGAATAAAAAATAAATCGTCATTGAAAAGAATTTTTTTTTAATGCGCTTTTATGGTTACATTGAAACAGGCACGGATTACGAAGGAAAAGGAGGAGAGGAAAAGAAGTGCGTGTAATAACGAGAGTAGTTTAATGGCGATAGTTCTGGAATACTTACTTTCTCTCTCTCTTTCTGCACACGCGATTGATTACATTTGTGATGCATTACGGACATTTACGGAAGCGAAAAGAAAAGAGAAATGAGAGATATTTTCCTACCCAGATTTGCGTAACGCTCGCCGCTCTTCTCCCTCGTTCAGGTTCAGACGATCCCGGCGGCTGCGATATGTGGATAACGTGCACCGACGATGCGGAACACGACACGCGAAAGGCGTGGGCACGCCGCACGATTAAAAGACTGCGGACGCTGATTTGGCTGATTCGCAACGCGGCGAATCCGTTTGCGGATAATGCCGGATTGTGCAACGCGGAAAAACGAAAGCGCGAGGCGAGCGCGGTGCGAAGAGGCGCCGAGCGATGAGACGAGAAGAGACAAGACGCCGCCTATTCACGTAGTCGCGACGCGAATGACAATCGACGGTTGCCTCACCACGCGCGGCCACGTGCGACGACGTCCCTCTTGCGATGCTGACAAAAGACGGTACGCGCGCACACGCACGCGGTGCAGATATTCCGCCGCTAAAGAGACCCGTTCTCCTGCAGCGGACAACTGATAACGAGAATGCAATGGAAACGCGTCCGTGTATCAGAGAACATTTCAACCACTGGGACCGAAACCCATTTACGCGCTCCCAGAACGTTTCAGTTACATTTAAATAGATAAACGAGATGAATTTCAACGGGGCGTCAGCTGTAGCCGGAATCGCTCCACTTTTGACCCGTAAATCAGAGTTGTGTACAAATTTGTATGTAAAAATGTTGATAAAAGATCTTTTTTTTAAATCGAATTATCAAGGCGCCAACAATCCGACATTTGTCACAAATTAGATTTCCGAAGCGCAAACAATTTATGGATTTTTATTCGACTTTTAAAATCCGCGTGCGGATCTCGAGCAAATAATTTATAAAGTCTATCCCATATTCTCGTAAAATAAGAGCCCTGCTCCGATAGTTTACAAAGTCGTCGATCAAATACGAAGGTCGAGAAAACAAGCCGAAGTCGAACGTTTGTGTTTATCCTATTAGACCTTCCGATACACACGCACTATACACAGTTACCATTATTGCTGATCCACGGCAAAGACGCAGAGGTTAAATCGATGTAAATAAGACACGGAATCCTGTCCGCGTGTCGCGAAAATTCACTTAGGTACAACTAAAAGTCTCACGCACGTATATAATTTATCGAACCGACTGAAAACTGAAACTCGATACGCTTGTTTGCGCATCGGCGATGCTGTCGCGCATTTCTTCTTTTTTCCGCGACCGAGCAGGACGATCTGGCGATCCAGCCGTGGGATATCTAATCACTCTCCGAGATGCATTTTATGCGAACGATAAAAAAAAAGTGCCGCTTTTGCGTGGCGCGTTTTACTCCGGAAAGTCCGCCGTTCGGATATCGCGGACCATATGTTGCCAATTAAACGATCGCGAACTTTCTTCCAATGGTATGCAACAATGTCGTAAGAAGAATCCGACACCTTTTCCCCCTTTCAAATAAGAAATTGCCGGATTACGGAGTATCGTCTGGCACCGACGCGATTGAAACGTCGTTCGCCGAATCGATACGTATCCAATGTAGATTTTATCTTTATTTTTTTAAGAATAACAACAAAGCTGTTTATCTATCCGCTCTCGAAAGTCAACGACATTCCTGCCGGATTACCTTGATTACCGCGATTAACGATCAGCCTCGTGTTGGTCTTTCTCTAGGCGTTCAGAACTAAGAAGAGACGGGAAATCAGGCACGATTTATCTCCGATAGCGCGTGCCCACTCCTCCTGTCGCTGTCTCTAACGCGTAATCGACCGTCGCTATTCCTCGGAGCTGCTGAGAGCTGCGTTTCTCGCCGCGTCGCGGAATACCGTTAGCCGCGACTCGCGCATTCCGAGCGCACGTGGTCATCGCGCGAGCGAGATAGCGCGGATCGGCTTCCGTGTATGTAGCGACAAATTAAACGCGCCCACGCTCTCCTTCTCCCTTTCTTTTCTCCCTTCGTAAATTAAACATCTTTAAAGATCCCCCTCCACCCCGCTCGAAGACTCACCGATCTGTCTTAATTGTCTTGCACCTTTCCTTCAGTCCTTCAGTCCTTCAGTCCTTCCGGCCTTCGCCTTGTCTCGTCGCGATCTACGGAAGCACGCGTGAGCGAGTCGCTTGAGTCACTTATCGGGTCGCGCGAATGATACTGAACGATTGCGGGCGGGCGGCACACGGGCCACGTGCCCCAGAGCGGCGCGGCGGGGAGCGTGTGCCGTGCGTGCGTCGCGCAGTGCGCGTGCTCGCTGGATCCCGCGGGGTCACATGTCCCGGCACTGTGCGGCCGATTCGGCCGGTGCGCGCCGGATCCAACGAGCCGCGCCGCGCGGAACGCAACATCGGATATCGGATTACCGTCTCGTGAATGGAGATCTCTGTTAAACGGCCGCCGATCATCGCACCGATTAGCGCGTGAGATGCGGCGTGATCGATCGATTCCTTGTAACGGGATACGGATAACGCACTATGGGATGGCAAGCCTAAATTCGATTCGGAAAATAGCACGGAAGAGTATTGTAAAGGTTATTCTACATAGAAGTCGTAGTCGTGAGTTGTAAGAAATTGACCAATCACATTCGAAGTTGAGGAAAATATTCAATCTGTGATTGGTCAATTTCTTACAACTCACCACTACGACTTCTATGTAGAATAACCTTAATATGCTTTTCTCACAGCTTTTTCTTACGATAAAAAAAATAACAGATATTTTATTCTTGAATATATCATAACAAAATTCAATTTTCTTTTCAAATAGAATCTATTATACAAAAACTGTATTTTAAACATTCAAATAGTTGATACATGAACGGTAATTATGCATGTATCATGAAACTTCGGAAAAAGCTGTAAGAGCTGCATATTACAATAGTGTAGTATACTCTTCCATGCTATTTTTCGAATTTTGACCACTTTTTCAGGCTTGGAGATGCATTTTATGCGGACGATAAAAAAGTGCTGTTGTGCGTATAACGCGTTTTACTCGGAAAGTCGTTCAGATATCGTATTAAAAGATATAGAGTAGATAAATAATATAAATTAAGATGTAAGTGATTTTATATGGATGGACTTTTTTTTAATAAGATAAAAGTTATTTCGAAGCAAAATGTTGAAATGTTATTGTAGACATTATCTATAGACATTATATATCGAAAATAATTGAAAAATAAATTGATCTCGGAAGCAAGAAGAGAGAGCAATATAAAATGTTTATCTTTGAAGTTAAATTTTCTTTTAAAAAACGTTGAGACAGCTGTAATTTTAGCAAAAAATTCTATTCTAATCTTTAGAATAAAAGTAGATAACAAAATTTATTTTTACTAAACTTACTACTATAGTAAAATTTTGATTGCGAAACTAGTTATATATGTCTATAGATATTTAAAACAGCGAGTTGGAAAGTTGTAAGAAAAGATGGATTTCAGCTATCTCTAAAGAAATTCTCATTAAGAAAAGATTGATTTTAAAGTAATTAAAAAAAATCTGGAGGAAAGAAATTTACAGTGATCCTATAACTAAGATATTAACGCGGCTGTTAAGAAAATATGCAAATCGAAGTTAATGCCGATACATTAATTAAGAGAATAAGTAAATTAATCACTTGTTTAACGTTAATCTACGATAATATTATTATGTCGCGCATACACGCGATAATGCCAATTAATATGCAATGCCATTAAAATATTTACTCGTGAAATCAATTTCATTAATAGAAGCAGTTAGTGTATTTGAATAATACACTACTGTCAATAAAGTTATATGTGTAACATTAGTATTAGATTAATTTTATAATTAATTAATTTTGTAAGATTATTGAATTATACATGGATTATAATTATTATAAGATTATCTCACCTCATTATCAGATTTTGTTATCGTCAAATTTTCAATACATCCTCTGTTCAACCCTCTTGAATACCAATAATTACAGCATCAACGAATTATAACGACTCGAATCATACAACACGATTAAAAAGAGATCATAGAGATCACGAATTATAACATCGAATCATACAACTATTCGAAAGAGATTTGAGTTTTATAATTTCTACGCGACGGTATCAATAAAAAGATATGCAGAATTCCATCGTGTTCTAAAATTAACACATAACAGTTAAACTTTTTCAAATTATACTGTTTGTACTGCTTTACCATGTTTGCAAACACTATCGTTACAAGTAATACACATCCGAAAATGTGTTTCTGTTTGTGCGACGCGATGACGAGTTTGCAATCTAGGTCGTTAGATGTGGGCGCGTATTAATTCTTATCTATATTCTTTATCTCGGCAATTACAAGTGACATAAGAAAGCCGCATGACAATCGCTCATCGAGCGAGTTTCTTTTCTGCAACCCAGGGTATTCATCTGTATATACTCTATAAATATCACGAGCATGCAATAAGAATCCATGCGCGCGTATATAACGTTCAATTTTGCTGCGAAGCATTTCTTTTGACTCGCGATATCGCTATTCCTTTTTTGTTCGCGTATTCATCGCAGAAACTATTTTCTGCTGCGATTGCACAGTATTGAGTGTCTTGCATCTATTACGAATCCTTCGGCCAATGTGGAGTATCTCGACGACGTAACCGTAATTTTTAAGTTATTTACAATTGAAGATGAAAGGCTTTTCGGAGATTAAAGTTCAAAGATACAAACAAATTATAATACAGTTGGTTTAGTCTCTAGCTTGATTTAATCTCATCAGTTTGTAATTCGTGAAGATTATAAAAATATGTACTCAATGTTAAAAATTGCGAATAGTTCTTCTCGATAATATTTCGCTAAGAAATAATTGATTCCAAATTCATAAAAAAATAAGTAAAACGCCGCGACTTGTTAGTCATAAAATATTTTACATACTAATCTTCTTAAATAAAAATTTAATTTATGTACTTGAAAGTTGGAGCAAAAATTAAAAATATGGCCTAATTAAAAGGGGTTATAAAAAGAAATATATATATTTATATATAAAAAATAAAATTATAACAAAAAAACTAATGAATCGTTGCATTGTATCGCGATCTTGTACTTATATATCCAAAAATATGAGATATCAAATTAATTACACTATTTATTGGGTGATATATGCCTAGTATATTGTATGAAATAAATATAATACATGTAATATTATATTAATATAAAATATTATAAATGCATAATATGATATGCATAACACAACTTTATATATTTAATATATTTTTATTATACTCTATGTATAACCATGTTTTTTTTTTATTATAAACGGGGAACCTTTTTTTCAACACGTTTAAGTTATTATATCTATATTTTTTCTTCGCACATATGTAGTGTATTATAGTTTTACATCATTGGAATAGTCGGTTGCAGATAATTGTAGCATGATTATTGAACGTGTATAAACTACATTAGATGGGCGTCGCCGAAACTACCACACCGGGCTGCGGAGAAAGTGTACTATGTTACATCACGTCTAGGACGGTCGATTAACATGGTCGATCCAGTTTGCGAAGTACGGAGAGCCGATAAAAATCGACCAGCGAAACGTGTCTGGTCGCGATAGTCTTTCGCGAAGGAGACGCGAAACAGCGCGTGCTCTTATCGGAGAAACGTGCATATCGTCGTTGCAATAGTTGCGGAACTGCATTTTTCGCGAATTTCAATTACGTGTACGAGGTATTCGACAGTAAGCACGAGCACAGTGTGCGATATTTCCTATTGAAAACTGGCTTCTTTGGAAGCGAGATTTTTTCCGTATAGATCGGCGAAAGTATTCTCAACAGTGGTAACTATAACATTAAACAGTATAGTAACTATGTATCTTGAGTCAAAATTTTGTTAAAGCCCATCTAAATCAGCTAAAGAATGAAATTTTGCATTTTATATTCCGTTATATTTCCGTAAGGGCCCCCGCACAATGAAAAATATAAAGGACAAGGAACAGATATTAGCGATTAAAACTAAGGAATCAGGAATAAAGCTGGTGTAGCATTGATACACGGCTTCCGATAGGTTAAAAATCTATTGCCTGTGTTTTTCACTGTGCATCGTGTGTTTTATTTCCGATTTCTTAGTCCTAATCGCTAATATCTGTTCCTTGTTCCTTATATTTTTCATTGTGCGGGGCCTTAATCCTTTTTACAACGATAACGTTCAAGAATTATTTATACATTTATATATATATATATATATCTATTAAAAAAAGATTATTTCAATTTTTCGACAAAGAAATATCA